GTGTGCCATTGCAGAACACGGTTTCAGAGTAGTTGGGTCATAGACTGGGAAGGTGACTGTCTTTTTTAGAAATTAGGTCACTGATCTCGGAGGTGGTATCCTAGTTGCCTATTTTGGCTTCAGAGACTATGTATTCTGCTGAAGGACAGTCTTGAGAGTACAAGTGCAAACTGAAGTTACACACTGCTAGGATTATGGCTAGCTCTTAAGCTGGAGAGTCATGCTTAGACTTGCTCTTTTTTGTCTGTACCTGCTACAACAGAAGAGTCGGAGGTGCCTAATAAGATCCTTTTCAAGCAGTTAGAGAAAAAGTTTGGATCTTCTGGTGCCTTCTGCATACACACAGTGTAAGAAGTAGGTGTGATGTCACCTTTTTTGGTTGTCCTAGTAACAAGTTAAGCTGTTATTCAGGAGAACATGTACTGGGCTCTGCAGACAGGGTAGGTGGAAGAACTCTCGCTTTCGGATTTGAATAAATTGTAACATCGATTGTTTGTTGCTATCAAGACTGAATGCACCTGCATGTGGCCACAACTGAGTGCCAGGCTGCGGATGCACAGGACTGGACTGCAGCTAAGCAGGGGGGTTGAGCTTGGCAGTTGGAGGGGGGTGTGTATAGAATGGATCCAGGTGAGAAAATCAATATTACAAGCGCGAACTATAGAAAAGCCTTGAGATTTACACCATCACTTCATTGCATGGAATAAGGCAGAAATCCTGCAGAAAGAGTAGTTTGGGCCTTGACACTATCTAAATGTATGATCACATGCGGGGCAGAGGGAGGTGTAACAATGGGCAAGCTGCTCAGTCTAGGAGGACACTTTCAATGCCCAATATAAGCCCAAAGCTCTTTTTTTTTTTTTTTTAATAGTTATAGTAAGTGTATGTGGAATGAAAGGGTGTGGAATATTACTGCATTACCACACAGGTATTCTAGCCTTGTGTACTCCCCTCTCTTCTCAAAAGTACTTGTACTTGAACTACATCCTCAGCCAACCCCACAAGCCTTGAAGCCAAGATGAGAAAAATAATTGGTCAGTAGTAGGTACTTCATGGTAAAACATCATTATAGTACCTACACCTATGCATAACCCACACTGCTGTCATGGGGCTGCTGAATCTGTGAAAACGGACCAATTATTCGGTACTCATCCATCAAGAGATTGGGCAGTAAATATACTAGTTGTATATTAGGAAGTATACTAACGGAGCGCTAGTGTAAACTGTTGAGGGTAGGTAGCTGGGAATGACCCCACCCTAGCAAAAGCAGAGTGTAAAACATGTAGTCTCCTTGCCTAGCCAGCAACTCAGAACAATCTGAGGTAGGAGAAAAGCTCCCAGAAAGGCTTGCAATTATATTTCTAGGTGATGTGTTAATGAACATATCAAGCTGATTGCTCAAGCAAGAATATTCGGTAATTAGCAGTTACGTCTGTGGTATGAGTCTTACGAGGCAGATAACCACTTTGAAGAACTGTCTGCAGTTCAGCCTGCTGGTGGCGAATGATGCGGGAAGATCCCAGAAATAGTTTCAGAACTGGCTCAACAGTACAATAAACCACTGCAAGAGAGGAGTCTGAGGAAAGACATCCTTGAGATATAAAAGCAGTTAATCTCTAGAGATAATCCAGAAGGGATGCTGCTGTCCTGTCTGAACTCAGTGGGTGAACTGCAGTAACTGGGGTACATTAACTTGTTTGCTGGAGCAAGGAGGGTAGTGTCACTGGCATCAAACCATCAAGTCAGTTGTACTAATTTATTTCCTACCACAATTAAACTGGAATCACAATATGATAGGAAGAAGATTTTAAGAGTATCTTTCCTGCCTTTCTTTAATTCATACTATTTAAAGTATCATTGCTTTTTCACACTCATGGTAAAAAAAAAAAAGTGAAGTCACAGCTGAAGTGTTTTAAAAATGTCATTCCTGTAGTGTTAACATTCTCTCTTTTTTCCATCAATCTGCTATGCCTGTTTCATTGTATCTTGCTATAAGGATGCTGCAGAATTAGAGAAAAAGCACAGCCTTTCTCTGCTGATCAAGTTTAGTTCATACCTGATGCTTCATGAAAAGCACAAGTAGTGTATGATAGCAGCTGATTATCAGCGAGCTCAAAAGAATCTATCAGTACTTAAAGAAAAAAACTTGGATAAGGGCATGTCTTTAGCCAAGTAGCCATTGAAAACCTGATAGAAGTGCCGACTTTTTTAATTACGTAAGGAATCTTGTTACAATTCAGGTTACTAGGGCTGGGAATGCGAATGAATAATCATTTGGGAGTGGAATTTCCGATTGTAAGACATATTTACAGAAAAGCCACAGAAGCGTTACAATGGGATTTTACTACTAGTTAGATTATTCTCTCTGTTTAGTCATGAACATGGTCCATCTGTGCATGAAACTGAGTTGTAAAATTTTGGTCTGTGCAGGAATATTGTGTTTTGACTTCAAAAGGAGCTCAGGATTATTCTGTGGAGTTTATCCTGGAGAGTAGAGCTGTTGTAAACACATGGAGTTAAGCTACAGGACTTTGATTTTTTGCAGGAGAGGTCTAGAGTTACCTGGTGAAAACCGTGCCTCGGAGGGCATTATCCAATTGTTCACAGCACTGAACAATTCTAGTCTCCTAGCCTACGGGAAAATTGCAAAGTATATGATATTTCAGGGACCTAAACTAATAAATCGCTAGTTCAAATTGTGAACAGGGCTTTGCAGAAATCTTGTGCAAAGGAAACGGCAGGAAGAGAGTGATCTATAAAACAACAGGGATAGGAAATCTGCCAATGTCAAAAGCTTTTTAGAGGTTTGGTCTTTGAGGGGAGAGTTGAGGTTCACTGCTGTTCATATGGAAGACTGAGGAATGGCTGAGTTTGGTGGTGGGTGGCTGTAGCTGCAGGGAAGGAATCGGTGATGAGGAGATGGGTGGGATTAGAGATGGAAGGACAATTGCTGTGCCTAGTTCCGTTGAATACAGGATTCCTTTCTGAAGAGGGAAGGGGAAGGGAAAAAATTAATCATAGCCATGGGAAGGGTCATGTCTGCCTCAGCTCTTGGAAGACTGCAGGAGGAACATGGACAAAGCACCAGGTCTTTGTGGGAAACATCAGCTGAGAATTCGGTGTTGCAAGCCTATCAGTGGCAGCACAGTTGAGGCTCCTTGACAGCAGTGGTTTGTCAACAGAGACAGAGCTCTCTTCTTTTTGCAAACTTTAGTAATAAAGATTATGCCTCTTGATCTGTGCGCCTCTGCTGTTACAGCTAGAACAGCCTGTCGCTCCTCTTCCTTCTTGAAAAAAGGCTCTACCTGCTGTGTTGATTGATTGAAGCTCACTGGAGACAGAGGAAGATTTAACACTTGACTTGAGGGCTTCTCTTCGTAAGTTTATCTAGACAGATAGCCTTAAAACATGTTTCAGAGTTCAGATTTGCAGAGGGAGAACACAAAACAGGAAAACACCTGCATTGTTGGGACGGCAGCAATGTTGTGACAGTATAAAACAATTGCTTTAATTAAAATTCTCTGAAGACAGGAAATCCTTCTTTCTAAGCATAACCCAAACAAATGGTGTTTTGCTGCCGTACACAGCGCTTAGTAGCGCAGTGGCAGTCGCTACTGCAGCGGTATCTACTGGACTGCGTAGGTGCTGTAGTGGTTATTTCCAAAGTCCCTGGGGACTGAGAAGTATCTGCGGGTGCTGTAAGTGCAGAACCTACAGGTCATACTCCTGCTTCACTCCCTCCAAAAAAAGTCTCGATTGCTGTATATTTAAAAACATTCTGGGACCGTGCTACAGGGTGCAGAGCCACCGTTCTCCAAGGGAATCCTGCTCTTGTGCCCTTCAGAAGAAAAAACTTTTGAGAATCCCATATTCAAAAGGAATAGTGATTTTATTATCCTTGGAAATATTTACCTCTTTTTGTAACCACAAGGCAATACAAGCAAACCTCTGTTACCTATTTATGTGCTTTTCCGCTGTGACAGGGGAAAATGCAACTGTGTATTTTAAAGCCTTTATAAACCATTTTAAAATAACAGCTATGTGCATCAGAATGGACTTTTGTCAGGTAAAAACAATTTGAGAAATTATAAATTTAGTTAGATTATTAATTAAAATCAGATTAATTTACATTTAAAAAAGGAAGACTTTCAACTCAGAAAAGCCATTTCTGTACAAATGGAAGTTTTTGTTGTGGAGGGTATTAAGCTTCAAAGATGGCAAGAACTGAGGTTGCCTGGAAAAGTACTACTAGTTTTTCTTTAAAAAAATCAAAGGGGGGGAGATGAAAGTTTTGCTGATAGTCATTCTGCTTTTACTCTTGGTTACTTGTCTCTGTGTGGCAAATGAACAAGAAAAGGAAAAAAAATGCTCAAAAGATAAATTAACAGCACAGAAAACTGTAATTACTTAGACACCTTAAACAATTCAGACGTGTTCAGCAACAGAAACAAAAGTCACTTCCAGACTAACTGCATTTCAGTTATGGCTATTCAAACGGCTTATTCTTCAAAAGATGAAGAATTCTCGTTATAAAATGCATCATTTGATATACATTATGTAAATCAAGTTTGTAATATTTTTTGGTTCCAACCAGAATCAAATAAAAGAAAAATCCAAACCAGGGTGACTGTGCTGCTGCAGCGCAGAGCTGTTAGCCGTGTCACAGCTGAGGTGTCTGGCTTAATCACCAGCATTGCTTTGGAGACGTACACTGGTTTCGCAACAGTTTTCAAGGATGAATCGTGTTGTAAAGCAAAACCGTGTTCCTGTCAAACTAAGTAACCTTTGCTTTGTGCCACAGGAATCATGTATCGCAAATCCTGCGCATCTTCAGCAGCGTGTCTGATAGCCTCTGCTGGGTACCAGTCCTTTTGCTCTCCAGGGAAGGTGAACTCTGTTTGTATCAGCTGCTGCAACACTCCGCTCTGCAATGGACCCCGGCCGAAGAAGAGGGGGAATTCTGGCGTGGTGCCGAGGGCACATGTGCTAACCACCGTTCTGCTCCTTAAATTGGCTCTTTTGTTTTTGTATTGCTAAACTTCAAGCAAGTTTTTTGCCCTGACACAGTTTGTTCTGTCTCCTCCTTTCTTCAAAGGCACTGCAATTATTTTCTGTTTGTTTCCAAATCCCTGTCAACAGCGAGGGAAGTTCAGTGGTTGTGGGGAGAGAGGGGCTGGTATTTTTGGCAGCTAATGAATTCAGTTAGCAGATTGAATTTCCAGTGTGCACTTAAAAATCCCAGCAGCAGGATACAGAACTCCTGCTCTTTTTGCATAATTGGAAACAAATCCATCTGTGTTACTCCTTTTAAGATGTAGTCAATTCCTCAGTCATTTTAATTTCCGTGTTTTTAGGTTCATTGCTAATCGTTAACTTCGCCTTATGAAGTCATACTTGCTGTTCACAAAGGCCGTTCTGTGCATCTGGACTGGGCTCTGGACTAGTCTCTAGTGGCACTACTTCCAAGCTGGGCTCCGGTGGTTCAAGACCCGGTTTCTCTGGACTGCAGTCAGGCTTGGTCTCGTTCTGAAAAGTACTTAAGAAAAATTTGTTACTGCCCCTTGCAGAAGAATTGCGCCTAGATGAAATGAAGAGCAGTGGGCGTAGAGACCGACTGCTCCTTGCTCTGGAGCTCAGGTTGGCTCTGAGAAACTTCTCCTTGTTGGCATGCTCGATTGTCAGGTGGCAGCGGAGGACCTGCAGAAACACGCTGCGGAACTGCTGAGAAGAGATGTTGTACAGGAGGGGGTTCACCACCGAGCTGAGGTAGAAGAAGATGTTGGCGATGGGAAGAAGAGTGATGTACGCTCTGAAGTAGGGGACAGTCCAGTCCTGCTTTGGTTTAACAGCAGCCATGATCCTTCTAACCTGGTTTGGCAACCAGCATATTGCCAGAGTTGCAACAATCAGTCCTGCAAACAGAAAGAGGAAGACAGAAGTGTGCGTACATGGGGGAAAAAAACATAAAATACTTAGTATCAGTTCTGCACTTACTTGCTTGACAGCTTTCTCTGCCAGTAGCATTTTTTGTTCGTTGTTTTTAATAACTGTTACAAGGTCATTGCAGCACATGCTCTGACAAAAGACTGCATAATGGTTGGATAGTGTTTCTTTGTACCTATTGTCATTTATTAGATTTCAAAGTGTTCTTTCATTGATATCTGTATCTTTGGAAAGAACGCATTTTTATTTTGTTTTGTGTTCTTACAGTTCTTATGTCTTTCCCTTTACTTTGAAAAACAAACAAAATAAATAGAACCTATAGCCATATTAGATCAGGCAATACCCAGAAGAGATCAGATTCTTGTTTGTACTTTACAAAAAAACATAATGTATGCATAATAATATATTTCGTGTTATTTTTGGTAAATTTCCTCTTACAGAAGATATTTTTAAGTAAAAGTATGTATGGATCTTTTTATGGTAATTAAGATATGTTGGGCTTTCTTAAAAATCAAATTCCAGTGGAATTAAATTATGAATGTAAATGAGAAAAACCCAAGCCTAGTCATGAAAGTGTAAGCAGTTTCAGATTATAAATTATGCTTAAAAATGTGGTATCTGACCATTTTGTATTTATATGTAAATATAAATACATGTTGCTGCATCACTAATGGCATTAAAAAGGGGGTGACGTAAGTGTTGGATGTCTGAAAATTCTGCCTCTGTGGACCGGCGTTCACTAGGGTTGCAGCGGTGATGCCGTCTTCAGAACAGCAGCCCTGAAGGAACGTACGGGTGAACTTGAGCAGGCTCTGCTCCCAGGCAGGAGATGGAGCAGGGGAAGGGCACTCAGATCCTCGCTGGCATCCACCGCTTCTGGTGCATGTAAGCGCTGGAAGACCTGACATGTTGCATGAAATACCAGGTACCCAAAACAATTCCTCTCGGCGCTTCCCCCACCAGGCGTTACTTCTGAAACACAATACAGCCACCAGTTTGCTGGTTCCACTTCGTTTTTCTCTTTGCGGGAAACGTGCCTTATATGAACACTTAGAGGGAGCAGAAGTTGCAGGTTGGCTTCCCTGCTGCAGAGGCACAAAATAGTAGAGAGTATCCTGACGGATGGTGCACAGTTTCCATTTCCAGCAGATTTTTGTTATATTGTTAATCTCCTCCAACGTCTAGCCGCCTTTCTCAACAGAAGCACAGAAATGTCTTAATTCTTACCTGCCTAGACTGAGTCAGATTGCCCCCATTGAACAGATCGCTGTAGGAACGCAATTGTGAAATAGCGCACGCTGATTTTTCAAGCCGGGAAAATGATACTTCGCTAGTGGGAAGACATGAATGTAACGGGGAAGGGGGGCAGAAAAGAAAGATTTTTTCATAACTTTGAAACTGCCAGGGCTTAAACAGGGTATGTCCAAGTTCTCTCCACCTCCACCCCCAAGCAAAGAAAAGGTATGAAATGTTTTTTTTTTTTTTTTAAGAAATTAATTTTCTTAATGAAAGCTATAATTACTTCAACATATTTATGATCTCACTGAATGAGCTACCAAATAAAATTTGTCTTTTTGATCACTTGCTTCTGTAATCACTTAATGTGACAATAATTTTGGTAGGATGGGGAAGCAGCGTACCTTAAACTCACAGCACTAGATTAAGAGCCCTGGAAGGCTGTTCTTAGTAGGCAGGTGACAAATGCGTTTACCTTTGCTGTTTTCCGTTCTTTAACTACTATAACTCTCCTCAGCCACAGTCTCTCTGTTCTCTTTCCCATTCCTACACAATCCCATGCCCCTTTGCTTGGCTGCCCTACTCTTCCCCTGCTGCCTTGCCTCATTTTTCAGTACCTGTTGTGTCTCTGTCATAAGCCGATCTGAATTTTGCATTAGTCCTGCAAATTTTCTAGCCTTCAGTGCTTTTTTCTCTGCTGTCAGCATAACAAATACCGGGATAGCAGTCCTCGCACGGACCAACAGAAAATAAGGAGCCCTGAGCAGTGACTTGTGACAGGCCTTATAAAAAGACAGTGAAGGGATGCTGTGGCTCCGTTGTGACTTTTTCTCCTGTGCAACTTAAATGCAAAGCCCACAACCGCGGGTCTGCAGAATTCTTGTCAAATTTTACCAGATGATCTCTTTCAAGGGAAAAGAAAATAAGCTCTATAGTGTAATTTTTATGTTCTTGGTTAGAAACAGGATACTTCAGCATGCTGATTAATAGTTTCCTAAATTATGAATGCTGCTGTGAAAAACTGAGCAAACAATGCATGCATTCAGTTTTAAAGCTCAAATGCAGTGCTCGGAGATGTCTGATTTTTTGCTTGTATCTGAATTCTTTGCCACTGACCTTTCTTTTTAGTTCAAACTGCCGAATGCTTAAGATTCCCCCTTATATTCTTCAGACACTTTTGTTCTGGGGAACTGAGTATTTCGTCGTGTGTACAGCAAGTGAAAAATGAGCTGCTTGTGCCCTCGCACAGTGCGGTGAGGTTAGTCTTTTGGGGGGTGGGAGGAGATGTCTGTAAAACTTTGTTGTTTTCCAGGGATGAGTAATTGTTCATTTTTACACTTGAAAAAGATGGTTGTTGATTCAAAGGAGATGCACCATGTAAATAAACACACTGACAGATTCACAATATCTTTTCCAACTGTTCACACTTGACGTGGAGGTATGAAGTAAACTGAAGTGCATCAGAAGAAAAGCTTTATGTTCGGACCTTAGCTTATTAAATAGTTTGACTGAATCGCTCCTGCCATCAATTTGAACTTGTACACAGGCTGTAGGAGTTTGTGTTGTACAGAAGGTGCAGAAGGTTGTTCTGTTGTGCAGAAGGTGCTTAAACAATGTTGTGTCAGCCGGAACGTAAACCAAACTGCATCTTACAGCAGCACTGATGCATTTTTCACTAGAGCTTGCTGCCTGCTAGGAAGCAAACTCCTTCACATTTCACCTCATGTCCAACCTTCCCTTCTCCTTATCAAAGTGAAAAAAAAATAGTAGCTCCATTTTTTTTCCATTTTCCTGACTACTGCGCTGAAGTGACACACTAGATGAGAGCAGAGATTTATCTTGCATGGAATGATGATGTTAATAAACAAAGTAATGCTGTGGTCCAGCAACCTCCATCACTGGCACTTGAAATTTCCAGCACACGTTTGAATCACGCGGTTTAATCATCAAAAGTGCATTAGACCATGCCAACAGAAGCAGGAGGCCTTGTGTTACCTAGTTGACTATGTGTAAGTGAATACATCTCAACCTTTAAGTGTTTGAGCTTATAATTCATTTAACATTGATGTCGATATTTCAAGGTAACAAAAAAAAAAAGACATGGAAACATCCTTGACTAAAACCATTTTAAAAAGCTAAGCCACAAAATAGTTTACCCAAAACAGGGATTACCACATTCAACCTCTGTTTTAATCTAAAAAAAATCCCCACCCCCAAACCTCTTTAAAAATAAAGCATACAAATTTAACAATGATTGAAATCTGGGAATTGTTATTGTAACTTCCCAAAAGTGGATCTTACAGTATTAATTCTTAGTATGTGACGAAGGATCATTTATTTATGTAGTAAAATAAACCTAGTGTTTAAGTGCCAATAATATAAATGTGCATTGCTGGCATAGAATAGGAGTTTGGCAGTCATCTGTCCCTTAGCAAAACTTTTTTATTACTCGGAACGTTCCTCTAGGCCATAGGGGACTGAGTTAAATTCATTATGAACTTTACTGGGAAGGATTTTAAATACATGCAAATGTCTGGTATAGTAGAGAGGGCTTCTCTCTCCACCCTCCCAGATTTTGCTTGTTCTTCTATCGAACAGATTTTTGCCTTTTTTTTTCCTGCACCTGAGGACTTAAATCTCTCTCCTTTTATAGTCTAACATTTCCCCTCTATCCTGGCCACTGCCAGCCATCCCACAAAACTTGGAATTGTCTACAAAATTAAAATTGTCACTAGGAAATGCCAACAACACGCTTTAGCTGGCTGCCGTAGCTCATTAACTGAGGCTGTTGTGATGACCTCATGTACATGCTCCTTTGCCTGTGCCACTTAACCCTGACCGCCCTGGTCCGTCAAGGTCTGCCGGACTCTGCTGCTACTCTCATCATAGTTAGCCTAAGCAGCGTTAAACCTCAAA